CAACAAATTATTGGTTTGATAATATTCAAGATGAATATAATTCTGGTTTATTTTTTAAATGTTCATTAATAAATAAAAAAAAGTTTGAAAAAATTGTGTAAAAATTTCCTTTATTCATTCACGTGGTTTAGCTATATCTGCATTAATATGTTTACTAATAACGCTTATTATTTTAATATTATCTTGGCTTAAATTAAGAAATATATTATCCAAAAGATATACTTAATTTAACCTAATCACATTCATCTTATCGTATATGTATTTCGATTATTCTCCCTTTTCTATCAACTATTTTCGATGCATTATGTATACCATAATTTTACTTCTTTTTTTTAATTTTTAAAAATATTTCCAAAAAACTAAATGTATTTATTCAAAAGATTTCTAAGGAAACATGTTTCTTTTGATTTTATAGAAAAAAATGAGCTTATTAAAATCATTGCTGTTTTTTTTTTCTAAAAGTATTTATCTATTCGTTTGAAATTTATGTTTAATAAACATTTAAATCTTTCATAATGAAATAGTTTGCAATATAATTAAATGATTTTTATTAAAATCAAATAAGGATGTAGGTGTGGATGACGACAATGGTCTGAATGATAGATGAGTCGGTGGTTATAAGCGTGGTTACATGCATGAGTCATCCTGAATGTGAATTTGTCTCTTTTTTCAAACCCCCACATATCTTACCTACGACAATCTACACCCATATATGCCCTCAACTCATGATGATATAAATGAACAGATTTTATTTTCTTATTAAGATTATTTGAAAATCGAATAAAATATTTGAAGAGATTTGCGAAAAAGAAAATATCTTTTTGGTTTTTTTTTGTAAAAGGTTGTTATGGTTGATTAGATAAAAACAAAAAGGTATTATATATCTTTTTTCTTTTCTTTTGTATAGTTAACAAATGATTCTTTTGTCTTTTTTTTTTATAATATATATAAATAAGAAGTTTTGAATAGATTATTTCTTGCTAACCGATCGAAACACATATAGCATTCGTCGATATTTGTTTTAAAGTAATATTCTCCTACTCATCATCAACAAACGTATGTATTATCGAAATTTATTTCGAAGAAATATTCAACAAAGAATTTGAAATGAAAAAAAAATGGTTTTTTAAAATTCTAAAAGAGATTTCGATTGTTTTATTAATTAATAGAAATTTAATTTGAAGATAATAATAAAATATTTATCAAACTTTATTTGTCGTATTTTAACTTAATAGTTTTTCGAGATTTAACCTAAATTGATTTTTATTCGATTTTACCAATAAATAAATATTATTTTTTTTTCGATTATATAGACATTTATTCTGTAATAATTATCTTTTAGAATTCTTAAATAAAAATGTCATCAAGTGAAACTATAAAAGAAATTGTGAGCAAATGTGAAGATACAAAAGAAACTGCGAACAAATGTGAAGTTAAACAAGAAACTGTAATAAAAAGTGACGATAAAGTAGAAATTGTGACTACAATTGGAGATAAAAAAAACGAAGTTGAAGAAGATAATTCTGTAGTTGAATGGTATAATGGTCTTGCAAAAGCATATCCAGATTCAAAAGAATTACAATTCATGAATTATGGTTATGCTCATTTAGATCAAGATCAAGATGCTGAAACTGGACAATGCTATGTCCAATTATATGAACAGGTTAGATAAATAATTATTCTTCATTTTTATAACAAAATTCTTAATATTTTTTGTCAATGTAAATAATCTATTTGTTAGGTTATTGCTGGTAAAACAATAAAAGATAAAGATATTCTTGAAGTAAGTTGTGGTCGAGGTGCTGGTGCTGCATGGTGTGTTGAAAAATATAGTCCACAATCATATATTGGCTTGGATGCATCGTCAAATGTGATTGAATTATGTAAACGAAATCATTCAAATATAAAAAATTTATCATTTGTTGTTTCAAATGCATCGAAACCATTTCCATTTCCTGATCAATCATTTGATATTGTTTTATCTGTTGAAGCAACACATGCATATGGTGGTCCAAAAGCTGTTCGTCAATTTGCACATGAAGTTGCTCGTGTACTTCGTCCAAATGGTTATTTATTATGGTGTGATACATGTCATATAGATCAAACAGGTTCATCTATTGAATATCTTACAGATGGAGGAGAATTAATTGTTGAAGAAAAAGTGAATATTACAAAAAATGTTCTTCGTGCACGTGATATCATGAATAAATCAGGTGTCGAATTTATCGATCGGGTTATTCCAATGAATCAACGTAAATTATGGCTTGATTTTGCTGGAATGCCTGGTTCGTTAATTTATGAAAATCTACGTGAAGAACGTATCATTTATTGGAGAGCTGTATTAACAAAAAAATAAATTTTAGTTATTAAATATTATTCAAATTTAAATTATTTTTCATCTCTATCATAGAAATACTTTATACGTCATTAATCATTTGCGATAACTCAATGTTTACAAAACATAGCTTTAATATATTGATTTTTATATGTAAGAACTCTCGATAAATCTGTTCATTCGTTATTATTTTTCTCATTTATATCATTCCACATTCAAGCTTGTTTCATCCTCAACTGATAAGTTACTCAACGCTGTTCTTCTCGTTCTCTCTCTCTCATATATCCTACATTGTAGAAAAGCAAATCGAGAAAAATAACATATGGATTATCTAATTAATCATCAGTAAACAATATATATTTTAGATGATCGATAGAATAGTATCAAAATATAATATTTCAATTGAAATTTCGAAAAGCAATAATTAATAGATGTTTCATCTCGAAACAAAATTATATCACAAGCAATGTGACTATTCTGCAATTTTTTCAAGAGTTCGAACATGCTGTACTCATTCCGATGAAAAATCAAATGAGAATGATCAATAGAAGAAAATCTGACAACATTAAAGACAATAAAAACCTTCTGTTTTGAATGTGACTCATTTTTTTTGTATAGATTATTTTAAAGAGAAACATCAGACTACATAAAATAAACGTCGAGTTCAAAATTTCCAGAATTTTTTCGTCCACTTTCTTGACATATCCGATCGGAAATTATTGGTAAGAAGTTGGGAAAAATTCAATGATTTCTGTTTGTTGTCCGTATACTAGAAATATAACAGAAAATGACGGAATCTTATTTGGCTTCATAGGGATTTTGGACTAGAAATTTTTGATTGGCATTCGCATCTTACTTTCTCTGCATTCCTATATTGAGAACATATCAACTACTATGATACTCATTTTTCATACGATTCATCACTAGAAATTTCGATAATTTATCCTACTAAATTTCAGTTGTTTTATAAGTTTAAATAGAATAATTTAAAAATGAAGAAACAATATAGTTTATTTAGAATTTTAAATAGTTTAATCTATCGAACAATTCATATCTATAATAAACATAAAATTACATTTTCATCCGTTAAACATCGATAGTTGTTGGTGAATCGGTATCATTCAGACTATTATCTCAATCATTCATTATAAATATTGCATAAATTATGGCAGCTTATCAACTGACTTTGAACTTTAATAACAAAAATATTTCTCATTAAAAATCGATTTAAAAACAGTTGCAGACTTTTATGTAAACGAAGTTAATGATTAGATTTTATCAACATTGTAAATGAATTTATTGAAATTATATTTAGAGCCATACAATAACGAATGAGAAATACTTTTGAAAGTATACAAGTATGAAGACGGAATGTGATATTTGTATGATTGAAAATATTTTGACATGATTTATTTAATATAGCCTTTGAGATGTAAATGATAAAGACTTATGAAGCAAATTTTATTATTTTAAGAATGTTTGAATCATGTTAAAATTGAAATAGTGTCTCATTCTGAAAGTCTGACATGTACTGAATTTAAGAGATATTAACAATATAAGTTATGTTTTAGTTTTGTTGGAAAGATCTTTGATTAAGTGTTAAGTTGAATTGAGACGACAAATTTTTCATGTGATACTGTCGACACTTAGAATACATAGTTATCATCGATGTGGAACTGATTTTTAACGAAATTTCAGTATTAGATTATTCTTTAATGATTAAACATCTTTAATTGACTGTCTCGCAAGTAAACGTTTTTTTATTGATAAGTAATGAATTTGATGAGAATTGATTAGAGAACTTCAGAATAGATTGAATTTTAAAGGAAACGGTAGGAAACAAATGAGTTTCATTTAGTATCTAAACCAGATTGAAGCTAGTTATGTCGATCGTTTCCGATCGAAAGTAACAGAAGTTTTCAGAAATGTGTGAAGAATATGGTGACAATATTGCACTATATTCCGATATTTTTTCTCCTCTAAAGTCATAATACTATTATGGTAAAGTTATTCATTTTTGAGAGTATCTTATTAGGATATACTGTGTCCTTCGACAAGTCCTAACTGGATACTCTAAGTTACTGATAATAATTCAATATGGACACGGTGATTTTCTATAATACTTGTGGATAGTAGATTTGCAAGGATCTATTATGATGCTTTTCATTAAAGATTACTGCTTTCTTTCCTACCTACATGTTTTGTAGTTGATACTCACATGAAAATACATGATAGCCCCATTAGAATTGTAGACGAAATGCTTCGATTCCGATAAATTCGTGATAGATTTGACGATCATAAATCATTAGTATAGCAAAATGTAATTGTACTAAAACTGAAAATCGATTATTTTGATTTATATTTTTTGTGAATAGATAACAGAAAAAACTTGTTGGTTTTGTAATAATAATATAAGAGAAAGATAATTGATCTTTTAATAATTTCTAATGAAAAATTTGATTTAAAGTAGTGAGTTTTATTATTGAAACAATCTGTTTAATAGGAAAAAAAAATAAACAAAATAAAAAAATTGATTCATTTCAATAGTTTTGTCGTGTGAGCTAGACTGATAAATAATTTGTGATTGAATGATGTAAAAAATAAACTAATGTAGGACTTGAATATTATTTTAATTTATTTATTATAAACAGTTTCTGCTTCTTCTGCAACTTTTTTCATTTCATTAATAGCTAATTGTAAAGCCAATTGAGCAAGATCATTTTCATGTATTGATTTATGTTGATTAATTTCATATTCTAATTCTGAATGATAAACTTGATTTATTGCTCGACAAATATTAACTATTAACCTTCAAAATAAGAATGATCAATTAAACGATGAACAATTAATTCTTTTAATCCTTGCCAATTTTCATTATTAAATCGAATTATTCTTATAATATGGTCAGTTGAATTTTCTAATATTTCAACTTGTCGAATACCTTCAATTTATTTTTCAGGATGTTCGATTTTATCCAAAAGTTTTTGTCAAACAACATTAAAACATGCATTTACAAATACTTTATATTTGTATTGAGAAATTCTTTCTTTTGATTTCTTTACAATAATTAATGATTTTCTTTTTTTGCTTTTTCTATTTATATTATTCATATATTCAATAAAAATAATAACCATTATTCATTTATTATATAAATGACGCTGTTTATTTTCACTTTTGAGTGGTGTGGGTATGGGTATAGGTATAGATGTTATATTATTTTATCATCCTTTCATTCACGACATCCACATTCGACACGCACATCTACACCCACACCCATCCTTAATATTCATTCATTCAAATAATATCTAAAAATTTAAATACAGTAGTTTCATTTAATGTTAACCAAGGAAGAGAAAAACTTATAGTTTGATAAATAAATCAATAAGAACTAAATTTGTCAATACATAAAATTTGAATTTCATCGACTAGAAGGTGACTGGATGTGGATATGGGATGACTTAAATATCCACACCTGATGCACGTGATTGCTCATATGATCCATCAAATCACATTTGTTGTCGATTCTGTGCCAATGTGAGTTTTTTTCGATTTAAAATAATGATGTATTTAACGTGTATTTAGAGCAAAGTAGAAGAAATCAGATTAGTAAATAATACTCTATCTAAAAACAGTGAGGATGAACATCCACCCTACGTATTTCTCTTTCGTTCTGCTTGAAAATGTGGTGAGGAAGAATATTAAGAACTGTAGATAAAATAAATTACGTATAAGTGAACTCAGTAGCTAGATTGGGTGAATATTTGGATACGTATTATTATTGACAAGTAATAAAAAGAATCGATAGTATTATATGATGACGCTGACGATCAATCGAAAAGTGGAAGAAAGGAAATAAATCTAGTCTAAATGACATTTGACATCGATTAAATAATTTTCCTAGTCACTTACCATCAAGAGCTTAGAAAATAGCACATGAATTATATAGGTGTATTTTATTGAAAATAATTAATAATAAAAACTAAATGAAGGAAGATACAAAAAACGACGTCAATAAAATGAATATTTATGAGTATTAGATAATATCTTGGTAATATTATTTGAGCACACTTTCATCTACATGAGTGCTCGACGTGCAGGAAGTCCTTTCCAGTGAGTGTTTGATGATAAGAGATCATTTTTCATTACTAATGTAAAAGGATAAAGTCGATGTGAGTGAGTACACCGAAGCCATATTTTGTCATATAGTTCATACCATATTATCATTACATTCTAAAATATTCATATTATCTCCTGAAATAAAACTCAAAAATTTATACAAAATCTCGACGTTAATATATGCAGAACGATAAGGCTTGACGAATCTTAATGATTGGCAGGAGCCACTCTAGTTTAAAATGGTCACAGCCTTGAAAATCCAAAGATTTTTAAAAATACCATCGCGGCAGCGGCAGGTTCTCAATCGCGATGGACCTCTTTGATACTTGTACTCCAATTTCTTGATATTTTTAAAAATTTGTATAAAAAAAACGAATATGTTGTTAGTTGATTTTTTGTTGTTTTGTGATATCTATAAGATCGAATATTTTCTTATGATTATTTCAATTATTAATAATCAATTCGAATTTTACAATATTAAGTAAAATATTTTATCTTAATAAAATTTTTATTATTTTTTCCTAATGATAAGAATAAGAATGGTATAGACGTTTTATAATAAACTATAACAGATTGAATTATTTTAAAATGATTGAAATATGATAGTTGTCAAATTTTAAATACTAGACATGTTAACTGATATAAATCTAAATAAAATCATATATGATATAACGAATTGATTGTATTATTTTAGATAATATTGTTCGAAAGAGAATAAAATGAAATAAATAAAATATTAATCTTATATTTGTCATAAAATAATTTTCGAAATCCTTCCAAATAAATATCGATATAGAATAAGAATTTCTACGTATTATTGCCGATCGATTATTATAGTGTGTTTTCTTTTGATAGATTTTTTTTGAAGATATATTTGTTAGGTGGTATCATCATCTTTCTTCATTTCTTTCTTACAGCATATATGTATAGTTTCTTTCGTTCTGTTGTTACATATACATATATGATATATAGTGTGATTCATCTTCTTCTATATGTGTTCTCGTTCTCTTCTATATCGTTCATGGATTTTTCCTTTCGTTATGTTATGTGGATTTCTCCTCTCCTATCGTTTATGTATGTGATGCTATACGTTATGGGACTTTTCCTCATCTTCTTCCCTTGATCTCATGTTGGACATTTCCCTTACAGGGTGTTCCACCATCCTATATATATAGCGTGCGCTTATATACGAATAAAGAGAGAGAGATAGGATTCACATCCTCACATATTGATATGATATAATCTTGTTGATCCCAGTACGATTGATGATGAAATTGATATATATATATATATATACGTAAGTTATATATAATAGAAAAATGAAATATAAGATTTTTATTGAAGAAATTTATTAGTATTAATTGTTAAGAAATCTACAAATATTAGTATACTACAATAATTGATATAAATAAAATAGATTTAATAAATAAGAATAAATATTTGATTAAATAATAAATGTCAATATATTTTAATTGTGGGCATCTAAGAGATGTAACTGAGTATTAGTAATGAATGAATGTGTTTTGAGTTGTTTTAACATTTCATGAGCAATACTTTCTTCTGGTTTGTTTCTAATAGCTACTATTTGATAAGATCCATATGGTTGAATACGACGCATTTGTATAATAAGATCTTGAGCATATGTAGATATAGATGATGATGATGATGTTATTGTTGGTATTTGTAAAGCATAGATATCATTTGATGATGTTTCATCGTTTTGCTTAGATAATTTCTGAATAAAATATGTAAATAAATCTTCATTATTATTATCATTTGATATTTGAGTAATACAAAAAAGAGTTGAAGTATTATTTTGATTCGAACGATGTAAACAAATGATATTTTCTAAACCAGTATATGTTGATGTATTAGTATATTGAGCTTCATTTTCATTAATCAACTCAAAATCTGAATCTTGTTCTTTTGCAGCTGATGATGTTGTTTGTTCTTTTTCATTAAGTTTATTATAAACAAATGTTGCAATTGTTTCAATTGAATGTCCTTGAAGAAGATCAACTAATGGTATATAAATACCAGTTTCTTGACCTAACCAATTATATAATGAAACAGCAGCTAATGAATCCATACCTTGACTAACAAGTGAACGATCAATAACTATACGATCAACACTAGTTGCACCTAATAATCGTGCAACAGCTGATTGAGTTCGTTCAATAATTGTTTCTTTCTTATTCATACTAGACTCAGTTGAATTATTTTTTTCTGATGATGTTGATGATACTTGATCAAACTTCATCTCTTTATAACGTTGATCAACTATTTTTCTTAAATAAGTTGTAGCTAATGTTGCATACTTTCCATATAATATTTGCCAATTAACAGCAAAAATAACAGGACACGGACAAATCTTTTGAGTTTGATGAAAACATTCAATTATTTCGAATACAGTTATTGTTGGCATTA